GTGTGTGTGTGTGTCTGTGTGCGTGTGTGTGTGTCTGTGTGTGTTTGTGTGTGTGTGCAGACAGAGCCTCCTCTCAACACTCCAGAGAACAGGGAGTACTTGGCTGAGATCATGTTTGAGACCTTCAACATACCTGGACTCTACATCGCAGTACAGGTGAGACGCGCTGATATCCTTAAACAGCTTCCAGGACATTCCAGAATCCTGGGGAAGGTTCCAGGACCCTGTGGCGTAAAGTACGTCTCTCCATCAGGCGGTGCTGGCGTTGGCGGCGTCCTGGACATCCCGGCAGGTGGGACAGAGGACTCTGACCGGCATCGTCATTGACAGCGGAGACGGCGTCACACACGCCATCCCCGTGGTGAGAAACACACCCACCTGAAACAGAGGGGGCGGGGTTTGAGCCTCTCTGCTGACTGACCGGTCGGCTCATGTGTCACAGGCTGAGGGCTACGTGATTGGCAGCTGTATAAAACACATCCCCATAGCAGGGCGGGACATCACCTTCTTCATCCAGCAGCTTCTTAGAGACCGAGAGGTGGGGATCCCACCGGAGCAGTCTCTGGAGACCGCCAAGGCCGTGAAGGTACCACAGTGCTCCTCCACTGCTGTCCTCCTGTCTGTACTTCTGTGTACTTTAGTGTGTATTTGTGTGTACTTATGAGTGTAGGAGCGATACTGTTACATCTGTCCGGACATCGTGAAGGAGTTCACAAAGTATGACTCTGACCCAGGAAAGTGGATCAAACAGTACCGAGGAGTCAACGCCATCAGTAAGACCGCCTTCCACATTGACGTGGGCTACGAACGTTTCCTAGGCCCTGAGATCTTCTTCCACCCCGAGGTTACAACAAAGTCTTTTTTTATTTACATTTTGCTCCAATCTATTTTCATTCAGTCAACAAAAATGAATAAAAGTAACAAATTAACTGAGCTTCATATAGTTTGAAAATGTAAAGGCTCAAGAACAGAACCCTGAGGAACCCCGCAGCTGCTCTGTTCTAATGCCTGCACATGCTGATAAAAACAAAAGAGCATAAATAATAATACCTGACATGTGAATGTGTGCTTTCCAGTTTGCTAATCCAGACTTCATGCAGCCTATCTCTGATGTCGTTGATGAGGTCATCCAGAGCTGTCCAATTGATGTGCGCAGACCGCTCTACAAGGTAATTCACAAGGGTGTAATTGTTACAAACGCACACGTGGTTGTTATATCTCTTCGCGTATTTGTGTAAAAACCACTGTGAGTTTTGGATGAGTTCTGATAAGTTACATCCATCCATCCATTTTCTTGACAACTTATCCAGTTCAGGGTCGTTGGTGGGTGGGGGCGTGGAGCTGGAGCCCGTCCCAGCTAGTACCGCAGTACAACACACCCTGTACAAGTTCAGGGTCAAAGTCTGTGCACTGTGTGACTTATATTAAAGTATCTTCATCTGTGTTGCAGAAGCCACCAGCCGAGGTTCTCAGACTGTCGACCTCTTTGTGTCTCTGACAGTCAGAAGTGAAAGACGAGCTGTTTGTGATGCTTTGCAGGCAGCTGGAGCTGTTCATACCTAAACGTGTGTCGGGACGTGTTTCTGGAGCTAGCTTACAGCTAGCATTCGTAGTTCTAAAAACTCTTTGAGTAAGAGTGAAGACATCATTTTGTCTGAGACCTCCAGAGGGCAGTTCAAGGGTTTGGTTAGAATACGGGTCAGGTTTGGCACAGGCCGCTTTGCAGAACCTAAAAAATGTATTAAAGTGAATTTCACATTAAAAGCATCACATAAATAACCAAACTAAAAGAAAAACAAATGGAGAAGAACTTTAAACTGAAGAAGTGTATTTGTTGTGAATGACTGAGGCTGAGGGTTTGCTGAAGCTGTGTGAGTCTTCTGTGTCCAACAGAACATCGTGCTGTCTGGAGGTTCCACCATGTTCAGAGACTTTGGCCGGCGGCTGCAGAGGGACCTGAAGAGGGTGGTGGACGCTCGGCTGAAGCTGAGCGAAGAGCTGAGCGGAGGACGGATAAAGGTGAGCCTGACCAGCGAGTGCAGGCCGATCCAGACCTTTATGACCTGAACACATCTGGAAGCAGAGGTTTTTAACGTTGGTCAGCTTCAGGTAAAGCTTTTCTTTGTTTGTGTGGAACTTTTCAGTCAAAAGGCTGAAACTGGTCCCCACTGAGCTCCTCCACAGTCCAGATCAGTGCTGGTCCCATGGTGGTCCCAGCTGGAATCACCTTCCTATTAATAGCAGAGGTGGGAATTAACAAAGTGCAAATACCTTGTACTTAAGTAGAATTTTCAGCTGAGTACTTTCTACTCCTTACATTTTCGAACAGGATCATGACTTTAGGTTTATCTGTAGTTTATACTCTGGGTTTAAAGTGGAGTGCAGGTTTCCGTATGTTTAGCATTTAGCTAGCCCTACTGAAGAGGAGCGAGCAAAACTTTTGTACTGTCAGGTAATTTGAAATGCAGCTAACAAACATCAGCAAACACACAAACTGTCTGTGTGCAGTTTATCTCACAGTGTGCTAAAGACCCAGCTGCTTGTTTCACTGGGAGAGAAAAGACAGAGAGCTAAGTTCATTCAGAGATGGAGAAAGATAAGAAAGAAGGACAGGAGAGGAAGAAGAGAGCTTAGAGTTAAAGGGAAGGGTGCTCATTTAAAGCTCACATAGAAGTCCTCATGTTGTTAAACCTGCTGAGGCAGACTAACTGTGTTATTTAAAGGCTGCAGGTTAGTGCAGCATAAACAGGTGAGTTTGTACTGTGATGGCTTTAAAGTAAAGACCAGCGTGTGACTGCTGCACAGTGACTGTCTTATATAAAGATAGCATAAACTGTCAGTGTAGAGGATGAAATCAACCAGGACAACTCAGGAAACATCTGCTCACATCTGGTTGAATCCAGGTGTGTACATCCACAGAGAACAGCAGATCAGCTGATCACAGCCTGCACACTAAGAACATCTACTGGAGCTCTCAGTAGAAATGATTGTGAGTTTGGTTCTTTTCCCCACACTGAGCCATGACAGCTGACTTTAGGTTCCCCACCTGCTGAATCCACTTCACCCTCTGACTGTGCTCGTGTTCCTGGTTAGAAACAAAGTCCTTCCCTCTACCACGGAGGCAACAGAAAAAATAAATATATTTTTATTTTCCCTCCTGCTCATCTTCTACTTACCTGACTCAAGCTGAGTACATTTATTAGAATTAAAATTCAGGTTAAAATTATTACATTAATAAAAAATGTGGTAGAAATGTTCTTCAAGGAACTTTCTTCCTCTGAGTACGTTTCAGAGCCGTTACTTTTCACTTTTATTTGAGTAAAGAATTTGAATCAGTACTTGAACTTACGGGTGTATTTTCTAACAGTAGGTTCTGTACTTGTACTTGTCTGTAGTTTTGCCACCTGTGATTAATAGTCACCAGATCCTGGTGCAGCTGATAACAGCACAGAGCAGAGTTAAGCTTTAATGTTACAGCCTTTACCTGGATGGCATTTAACTGGATCACTGGTTTGTTCCCAGTTTCTTTGTGATGTGAATCATTTATATGCAGATGACGTGTTTTTGTGTGTTGGCAGCCGAAGCCGATGGAGGTTCAGGTCGTCTCACATCACATGCAGCGTTATGCCGTCTGGTTCGGAGGCTCTATGTTGGCGTCCACGGTAACCAAAAGTTTTGTGTTCTTCTACTTTCACACAAAGCATTTCCCTAAACAACATGTGGCTGGAGGAAATGAGCCTGCTCAGTAAACTCTTTCCTGACGAGTTTATGGTTTCAGGTCTTAGTGAATAAAATATGCATTCAGTTTATAACTGATGGCCCGTCTGGAGAGACCAGGAACCTTTGTTGACACTGTGTGTTGTTGTGTTTGCAGCCGGAGTTTTTCCAGGTGTGTCACTCGAAGAAGGACTACGACGAGATCGGGCCGAGCATCTGTCGACACAACCCCGTGTTTGGCATCATGTCCTGATGACAGCGGCGAGCCCATCGGCCCGCTAACCTGTTAGCCTGCTAGCAACCAGCCACTCAGCCATTAGCCTGATAGTTTTTTGCCCTTCTCAGTTTTCACCTATGAAGCTGCTAACCTGTTAGCGGGCTAGCTCAGCATCATCAAGCACATGGAGAACGTGAAGCACAAAGGCAGTTAGAGAGCACGACAAAGTTTGCAGTGGTTTTGTTTTGATAAATTTACTCCACAGAGAAGAATTTTACCGAGAACAAGAGGAGCTGCAGGAGACCTGGTGTAGCTAGCCAACCTTCTTCCAACACGTAGCAGTGCTAATAGAGATCCTCCGAAGCTGAGGCTGTTGTCCCGACAGCAGATAGAGATAAATATGGCGCCTGCTCGCCTCTCATCCTCATTTCGGCCTCTTATCAAACACAAGCCGCCGCTCTGTGCTGAAGCTGGCGACGGTGGATTTAACAGGACAAGCCTCTGGATGTTTTCTGTCACTCGGCATTTATGTCAGCATGTTTGTGGCCCTGCTATAACGATCAGACTCACACTGAATCTCACTGACTTTTTGTCTCTAAACTAGAAAAAGCTCTAAAATCCGTCTCTTCGTCTTTCGGACAGTGTCGTAGACAGACAGAAAATAATTTTCTTTGGTGGTGATGGTCTCATTTTCTCTCTAACAGCACAATCAGGTGTAGTTTTGAGCGCTGCAGCCTGCAGAGGGCGCCAATGGTGTCAGGACAGCGACGCAGTGTGACGTCACAATCAAAGGGGACCTGTTCTGCTTTTTCTCGTTTTCTGGTACAAGAGTAAAGTCATAGTCTCTGATGTTGAGATGAAACACCACCCATGTGTCAGATAACGAGCTCATCACCACACTGGCTTCCTGAAATTTCTGTTTGCTCCAGTCTCACAGTGATGGAGCGATGTTGGTCTGAACATCACTCTCTGGGTCTACGGCCCCAAGATCCCCCCAAAAACCACCAGACAGAATACAAAGGGAGAGTAAATCTATTCATGTTAACATATAAAGGGTATTTTGTGACTTTAGATATAAGAGACATGACTGTGGCTCAGCATGAGCATTTATTTTTGATGAAATTGGATTAGCGTGAGCCGGGAAGAGGCTCCAAATGATTCTGGGTCATGGATTTAGTTTTTAATGTGGTCAGGCTCTATATTTGTAAAATAAATAAATAATAATAATAATAATATAAACTTTACATTAATAGATATTTATATTGACTGAGAGAGCAAGAATCAGACCGATCAAAGATCAGGTCCAAACAACCTGTAGCATGTGTTCAGGTGCAGTCATGTGATGGGCACGTCTTCCAGAAGTCATTGTTAGGTGAGACGCTCAGTTTGGAGATTTGCTTCCACAACACGTTTTCTCTTACAGCGCAGGGATGAAAGCAGATAAAATCCACGTTATGCAAATGAGTGTTTCTTAAACGAGATGAAGCCTCATTTGCATATTTAAAAATCAACCTCCAAACAGTTCATGTCTATAATTAGTCAGTTTCACAATATTATCTGTACATACTGGTTTGCAATAAACATGTATGAAGTTCTGCAGATCATATCTTTGCTTTCTCCATGTCAGTTCTTTTCTTGCACCACAAATATTGTCCTTACCTCCAGTACAGCCATCTGGCAGTGACCCTCCGACCTCTGCCATAATCCTCAGATGGACCTGGGCCTGCTCATTTAAGCCACACCCACTTCCATCAGTGTTTTCTTTTTTTATCACGAGGTTGGCTGACTGGTTCACTGTGCATACCGATAGTGAACCTTACATTGCTGCTTTCACTTTACTTGAATGTTCAAACTTTTGCATTTGATCCAGTGTCTTGGGCTCCTCTTGGGCTGGAGTAACCTGTGAGAGCTAGTGATGCTGTTCTACTGCAGATGAATCACCTGAATGAGGAGGTGCGCTCCTCTGTGTTTCATGTTCAGTTACTCTGAATCTCCTCTTCACCTCACTCTTATACCTGTTCACCCTGTGTCCCTCCTCTCTAACTCCACCCACTGTGACATCACCAGCCACCCTCTCTATCACAGTCATTACATTTTCTTCTCTTCTGTATATGCAACATAGATTCTCCAGTGTATACAGTCACTCTGCAGCCCCCATCAGCCCAAATTGACACCAACAAGCAGAATCCTCGTTTAACTAAAGTAGATGTGAAAACGTTCACAATTAAACAACTCCAGTTATCAAATATTTTAAAGTCCTTGTTGACGTGCACACACACACACACACACACACACACACACACACACACACACACACA